AGCTCCTTGAATGTGTGTCAAAGTACATCATATGGGTCAAAGGTACAGCCTGGGGATAAAGACTCTAACCACTACTCGAATTGTATGACTGTTGAGTTCTTAAATGATGTAGTGCTTTTATGTTGTAAATTGTTTGTCCTTCTGTGAGCCGCCCTGAGTCCCCCCAGGGAAAAGGGCGGCATACAAATAAACTGAAACTGAAACTGAAACTGAAACTGTGGAGGTTAGTGGCTTTCAAATGTTTGGAGTTTGTAGTAGAAGCTCCAGATTCAGAGGGGATCTGGGGTGGTGAGATTGAACCTGGAAAAGACCTTCTACTGTACCAGCAGAGGTCTTCTACTGGGCTTTTATCCCTAACCTTTTCAGGTCTCTGCTTTGGATACTGAGTCTAAATTAAGTCACTGAAACCATTGTTCTTACCACGTTCTCCCACTAGATGTTGGAGCTTCCCATAGCAATCTGCGTTCAGGTGGGCTGGGCTGCTGACCACGGGCATGGGAGAGGTCGCCTCACCGCCCTCATTTTTCTTCCCTTTGGACGCGGGAGGGACGCTGGCTTTGTTTGCCGGAGAAGGCAAGATGGTGGGGTAGTTCATGCTGCCGTGATTGGCAGCTTTGCTACCTGCAGCAATGCTGGAAGACTTGCATTTCACCGAGGTCCCTTCCACGTGGCAGTCGGCGTGGTAGATGCTGTGGATGGACTCCGTATCTGCAGCTCCACCGCTTGGGTGGCTGGGTGAAGATGGAGGAAGCATCAGCTGGCTTCCCGGCTTCATGACATCCAGCTCCAGGTCACAAATCCCTGGGTTGGCCCTTGGCCCCTGGGGACTCCCGTTGCTGATGTGGTAGTGGTGATGGTGGTGGTGGTGGTGGTGGATCAAGTGATGGATGGACGTGATGCGCCGCTTGCCACTCTGGGGGCCCTGAACGTCGTCTCCGCCGTTGTTGGGGTTGACTTTTTTCCTCCGCTTGCTCTGCCAATTGTTGTAGAGGCGCAGGGACCTCCGTTTGACTTTCCTGAAGATGTGGCAGATGTATTTGAGGAGCTCTTCATAGCAGCTCCCTGGCTCGGAGAAGCTGGCGATTGTGCTGTCGTTGGAGAGGTAGCGGGCTCGCTGCTCTTGCATCAGCTGGTTCTCCCGCTGTTTGGTTTCAGAAAACTGTGTTGCTATCACAACCAGGCACAAGTTAATCATGAAGAAAGAACCGACCTGGGAGAGCCAAAAGAAGACAGAGAGCACTTGAAGATGGAGGCGACTGGCCGTGCTCACCCCACACCCACCGAAGGACAAATGGTTGTGATGGAATACCAATGCAGAGCTTGGCTAAAGTTGACCTTGGTCCACTTTAGCCAAGCTCTGCATTGGTNGGCAGGGGATTGGACTAGAAGACCTCCAAGGTCCCTTCCAACTCTGTTATTCTAAGAATTTTGAGCCTGAGTCACCTACACACACACACACACACACAGGTTCCTCACTCAGTTTTCCCCCACCCCCACCCCTCTATCTTGCACACTTGCTTCCTGCAGTTAAATGTGTGCGAGATCTGCTGCGGAGCACGTGCCAGGAAACGTATGGCTTGGAGCCCACCCATTCGCAAGACTCCTTCCCTTCTTCCCACAGCTGGGGGATGGAGGGGGAGGCAAGAGTGCCAACCTTGCAGGGGTGTCAGGTGGATGAAGACGCCTCCCAGCAAGCCACCTGAACCCCAACCGCCAAGCCTTTGCTTGCTTGCCTATGGACTTTGTAGTCACACCCCCTTTTGCAAGCCTGGCGCGCGCGTGTCTTTTCCGCTTTCTTGCCCGCGGCTCTCCTCGCCCCTTCCCCCTCTTGGCTGACTTGGCAAACCCGCCGGCCCCGGGGCTCTGCTCGCCCTGCGCCCCTTCCCACGTTCTACAACGCCCACCCAAGGCTCTCGGGACGGCAGGGAAGTAAAGGGGGGCGGGAGGCAGGCATCCCACCCACCCACCTTCCGCGTCCCTCCCACCCGCTGCCTGCGAGGAAGCGGGAGTCCCGCGTTTCCCTCCGCAAGCTTAGAACCCCCTCTCAAGTTAAAGGGGGTCGTGGGAACGCGCCCACCGCGGGGCTTCGCGCTCCCTCCGCACCTGGAATGGTAGAGGGTCTCTGGAGCCGGGGGTTGGATTAGAAGACCTCCAAGGTCCCTTCCGACTCTTGGTTTATTCCGTTTACCTGGCCAGGTGTCGGTCTCGACCTACCTTCAGGTTAACGGCGGGGATCTCCATACCGACGGAGCCTGTGCAGCTACCGCCGCCGCCTTCCCCTTCTTCTTTCACGGCCGCCCCGCCCCGGCCTGCCTCCTTCCTCCTCCGGGAAGGGGCAGCTCCAAAGTCCGGCCCGCCTGCAAAAAGGAGCCACTCCGGAGCGACGCGTTCCCGAAGCGGCGAGCCTCTGAGCTTGTGCAGAGGGCTCTCTCTCTCCCCCCCCTCTCTGCCACTGTCTTCCTCTCCCTCTGTCTCCTTCTCTGTGTCGCTCCCTCTCTCACTGCCTCCTTTGCCCTCTCTCCCTCTCCCCCTTGTCTCCCTCTCTCTCACTCTCCCTCCCCCTCTCTGCCTCTCCCCCTCCCTCTTCCCAGTCTCCCTGCCACTGTCTTCCTCTCCCTCTGTCTCCCGCTCTGCCTCCCGCCCTCTCGCACTGCCTCCTCTGCCTCCCTCCCTCCCCCTTTTCATGTCTCTCTCTCCCCTCCCTTCCTCCCCTCCCTTCCTTTTGTCTCCCTCTCCCTCCCTCCCTCCCTCTGTCCGTCCCTCCCTGCTCTCTCTCCCTCCCTCCCTCTTCCATCTCTCCCTATTACCCCTCCCTCTCTCAACCTCCCCTCTCCCTCCCTCTTGTCTCCCTCTCTCTGTGTCCCTCCCTCCTTGCCTCTCTCCCCCTCCCTCTTCCCTACTTCTCCCTGTCTCCATCTCCCCTTCTCCCTCCCCCTCTCTGTGTCCCTCCCTCCTTGCCTCTCTCCCTCTCCCTCTTCCCTACTCATCCCTCTCCCTGTCTCCCTCTCCCCCTCCCCCCTCTTCTCCCTCTCTCTGTGTCCCTCCCTCCTTGCCTCTCTCCCTCTCCCTCTTCCCTACTCATCCCTGTCTCCCTCTCCCCCTCCCCCCACTCCTCCCCCCCCCCCCCCCCCCCCCCCCCCCCCCCC